TGGAAATAAAAAATAGTATTTTATTATTACTTATCAATAAATCATTGAAATTAAATACTTAATAAAATAATTTTGATTAAATGTATTTGAATATTTTAATAAAACATAATTAATGTCGCAAATTTTAAGCACTTCCATTACATTTTTGACTTCAAATTTGTTTGTTGTATAACTAAGCAATTGCGTTATCGTCATCATACATCTTTAGTTCTAACCTGAAATACAACGTCATTAAAAAACAATTATCGAAAAAGTCTTACCAAATATAATATGTTTTTGAACAAATCTCATTCGCGGCTGCAAACCCACCAAACATCAACCCATAAAAAAATTATTATTTATCTGCAAATCTCTTATTTTGTTTTTAATTTCATTTATAAGATAATCAAATAATTTATATATTTATGGTATGTAACAAAGTTAATAAATACAAGACAGATCACGAGTTTAATCTTAACGGTTTCATATTATAAACGTTTTTGAGACCGGTTAAAATTGTCGATTATTCAAATAATACGATATATTAGTATTTTAATTAAAATAATTATTGGTAAGGAAAATATAATATTGGGAAAAAGAGAGGGGGTTGGTGTGAGCTTGACCCTTTCAAGTCTCCCTTGTTAGTAATATAAAACCCCACACCACATCTCTATTTTCTCAGCTTGGCCGTTCCCTTTTACAGAGAACAAACAAGCTTCAAAAAAACCCCTTTCAATTTCCATCTACAAACTACTCAGAAGTTTAACATACCCGAAACCAAGATGCAGTCTTTAGCCCCGTCTTCCTCCATTAGTATCAAGTCAATAATGCGGACGCCGTCGCCGTTACCTAACCCCCACCGACTCGCTTTCACAATTCAATGCGCCGCTAGCCGTTTTGACTCGGCGCCCAACGCCACCAATCCATCCGTCTCTTCGGCGGCGGTGCCGTCCACCAACTACTTTGCGTCCGGCGGAGTTGGAAAGAACCGCGCAGATTGGCAGAGCTCTTGTGCGATTCTGGCCAGCAAGGTTGTATCGCAGCAGCAGAACACCGAGAAGACAGGCGGTGCGGATAATATCACGGTTGTAAACGGGCATAAAACTCTAGATCTGGTACCGGTTGATAACCTTCCGAAACCGCTTACCATCACCGACCTTTCGCCGGCGCCGATGCACGGTGCGCAGATGCGAGTTGCTTATCAAGGCGTTCCTGGTGCGTACAGCGAGGCTGCTGCCGGAAAAGCTTATCCGGAGTGCGACGCTATTCCTTGTGATCAGTTTGAGGTTGCATTTCAAGCTGTGGAGCTTTGGATCGCAGATCGTGCCGTTTTGCCTGTGGAGAACTCTCTCGGTGGAAGTATTCATCGGAATTACGATCTGCTCCTCCGCCACCGTCTCCACATCGTCGGTGAAGTCCAGCTCCCCGTCCACCACTGTCTCCTAGCTTTACCAGGCGTTCGTAAGGAATACATCAACCGTGTGATTAGTCATCCACAAGCCCTAGCGCAGTGCGAGCTAACTCTCACCAAACTCGGCTTAAACGTCACACGCGAGGCCGTCGACGATACAGCCGGAGCCGCCGAATTCGTAGCAGCAAACAACCTCCGCGACACAGCAGCAATCGCATCAGCACGCGCCGCAGAACTCTACGGCCTGAACATCCTTGCCGACGGGATACAGGACGACTCGAGCAACATCACACGCTTCGTGATGCTTGCACGCGAGCCGATCATTCCTCGCACCGACCGGCCGTTCAAAACAAGCATCGTCTTCGCTCACGACAAAGGAACATCGGTGCTGTTCAAAGTCCTATCAGCCTTCGCTTTCAGGAACATTAGCTTGACAAAAATCGAGAGCAGACCTCACCGGAATCGGCCAATTAGGCTGGTGGACGACGCCAACGTGGGGACGGCGAAACACTTTGAATACATGTTTTATGTAGATTTTGATGCATCAATGGCGGACGTAAGGGCTCAGAACGCTTTGGCGGAGGTTCAGGAATTCACATCTTTCTTGAGGGTGTTGGGTAGTTACCCCATGGACATGACCCCTTGGTCTCCTTCTCGGGATGACTAAATGGATTTATGACGTCATTAAATTAAATAATGTATATGTTAAAAACCCCATTTTCATATGTTAACTTTCCTTTTTTGTGATTTTGAAAACGAAATTATCCATAAATACCTCCTTCAAATTGTGGTTCATTATTTACCTGTAACGATGGGAATACAAAGTTACCCCAACATCTTTCCTACCAAATTTTCAGATTCCGATGGTTGCATCAATTTTTTATATCAAAATCAGATCAAATCATGTATTAAAAATGTAAAAGTTAACTTTCGGTATTATTGTATGCAACGAGAATTAAAATAAATATTGATTTGTTTATCAATATATAGGAGTGTATTTAGCACACCGATCCAACCAGTAATTTCAATTTCAATGTGAACGTCGTATGATATTGTTGATAGAAGTTTATATTTATGTAATTAATTGTAATATGAGTTTTAAGGTGGAATTGTGGTTGACAAATGAACATTTCCCTTATGTGACCTAACCCTCTTGGTCATGGATTTGAATTTAATAGAACGCTAGTAGTGATCAATCTTGAAAAGACAAGGCATTGTCACCTAGATTTTCTTTGATATTGTTAAAAACCATATGACCCGCCAATGGTTTTATATGCGTGTATTCAAAATAAATATTTACGTTGTTTTTGTTAACTTAGGGGAGATATTTTACGAGATTTTTCTACATGTTTCTTATCTCATAAATACGACGAATCTAACCAAATTTTCTAAAAAGTTCCATGGTTACATAATAAATGACACGAAGCTGTATCGATGTTACAAAATATAAACACTTTTATGACCAGTTGATTCAACTGTGTTCTACAAGTATAAAATCAAATAACTCATAAATTACATCCCTTGATTTTACCTTTCATATATATATATATATATATATATGTATATGACATCTCACTTCGTTTGGTTTGACATAATGTTTTTGAGTGATTTGGATTTCGTAGATTGCTTTGGAATTTAAAATCTTTGGAGAGTTTGTTCAGTAAGATTTGTAATGAAATTGAATTTCATTCTTTATTAATAATTAGTAATAACAAATTATAAATAATTATAAAAAACAATTAAATTACTTTTTTATTAAGCAATTATTAGAAAACAATATTTTTAACATATTATTCAACATTATTATATACAAATCCCGTGAAATCCCAACTACCCTCTTTGGATTTCAAAATCCCATATTTGATGAATTTCAAAAAATTATTAGAATTTCAAATACAAGCAATCCTACAAACCAAATGCAAGATTAAAATAGATTTGAACTCCAAATCCCCCCCAAATTTTTCCATTCCTACAAACGAAACGAACCCCAAGTCTAAGTAACAATGTACTTATCATTCGTATGACTACTGAATCAAAACAAATAAATTACTGCTTAAATTTGGGTTGCGACTAGATATTCTTCATGCCTTTATCTACACTCGATTTTCTTACTCCTGAGATGCACATTAACGATGAGTTTACAAGATTAGCGAGTCTGTCAACGTTGTAAAACATAACATTTATAATTTACGCTAGAAAGACTGAAACTTGTGCGGGGATAAGGGCGGATGTAGCCAATGGATCAAGGTGGTGGATTGTGAATATATTATTTAGTTTTTTTTATTGTTTTTCCATTATCCATTTTGAAAAGAAAAATAAACAATATTGTTTTTATTTTGTATACCTCTTCCAAAATAAATGTTCACGTTAAAAATGACACATAGTTTTAGCAGTAGTTTATTACTACACTTTTTTATAAAAAGGAAATGATAGTTTTTTTTTTGAAAGACAAAAAAAGGAAGGACAAGGAAGAGAGCTACGACATAGCCATCACCCTCTCCAAGCCAACCAATATATAAAACAAACAGATCCAGCAAGAAGCTAGATACACGAAGATACAAAATCCAACAAACAAGCGAGAACAAAAATAAACAAAACCGAACAGCCCCCGACAAAGACCGAGGCAAAACCCAAAACAAAGATAGACAAAAAGACTAAACAAGGTAAGGAGAGGAAGACCAACTATCCCAATTAAGATTGAACTTACGATTCCTATTACCCATCCAAAAATTGGATAAATTTTGAACACAAGGGAAAGGGTCTTCACCTTTTTTCTTAATTTTCGCACCATCCTCAGCATAAAGAATTTCATTCCAACTCATAACTAAGTTTTACTTTTGATTATAACATAAAGTTTTTACAACTCATAACTGAGGATAAAATAGAAAAGTAGACATTTACTTTTTAAAATAGACACTTATTTTGGTACAAAGTAAAATAGTATTTTCTTACATCTCAAATAAATGTCTACATTACAATTTTAGTTTGTCACAATATAAGTATCGACTTTAAAAAAAAACTCTACTTTCCCATTCTAATCTTACTTATGAGACGAATAAAGTCTCTCTTTATTATTAATGGTAAAAACATTATTAAGTTATTTAAAAAGTGTAATAATTACATATTTTTAGAACTACGTATCATTTTCATTTTGAACATTTATTTGGAGATGAAAAAAATATATAATATGAATAAAGAAACATTGGCATTTTCCAGCATTTCCAACATGTTCTATATATTTTTCTTATAAGGTAACAAACCA